CAAATTATAATTTATATTTTATTAAATTATATATTTTATTTATAGCTGAATTTAATAGATAATAGTATTATAAAAAATGAATCTCTAAAAAGAAAAATTATTTTTAAGGCAAATTGCTACCAATACTGGTATTAATTTGAATAATCGCAAATTTAGTAATTATTCAGGACGAAAAACTCTTGTTTAAATTTTAAAAAAATTAAATTTTTCTAATACTAAATGTATGACAAGTTTAAGACACAACTTTGAACAAAGTTTGGCAAGATATGAGCAACCAGAAACTCAACTGTAATATAATAATGCCATAAAACTTATCAAACATTTAGATTTAAAATATCAAATAATACAGATATATTATTATTTTATTATTTATTAAATTTTAAAATATTAAATTTACTATTATTATTACATTAAATAGAATCAACAATATCTTCGTTAAAATATCACTTCCAAATTCTTTATTACATTTATCCAATTATTCTGTATTATTGCAAAATAGACTTACATTAGCAAAGTCATTGATTAATGGTAAATTACATATTATATATTTTGTTATTATGTTTAGCATTATTAATTATTTTTCTAAAAAAAAGACAAAAGTACGATTATTAATACTACAACAATTAGTTCTAATGATAATGAAAATCCATTTCGGCGAATAAATAATACAAAATCAATAACAATAATTAATTTCAAAAATGATGGCAGATAAAGTTTTTATTAATTCCGTAGATATTTTTAATAATACTAATAATTGCATTGTGATCTAAGAAAATCAAGTTCTGAGAAATTTTGACTAAAATTAATATCTTATTACATTTTAATCTAAATGTAATAAAAATTAAAATGCAATTAAAATCTCAATTTTGATAAAAAATTCTCAGAACTTGATTTTCTTAGATCACAAAATATAGCTTATTTCGATATAAAATACTTAATTTATTTGTAGTTTATTTGTGATATCAATAAAATTATCAAAAGACAAGGTCATTTACATCATATGGGGAGCACGATAATTAATATTGATATATTGCAATTAACTCATTTGATAAAAAAAAATTTGCTTGATATGTTCTAGTGATTTAGAAATAGCATACTCGTTTGAGAAAATGGTAAAGCTTAATAGAAATAAGGAAAAAGTATTGATAGAAGTATGGATCGATAAGCTTTATTTTTATAACTTGTGATAATAAAATATTGTAGTGATTATTTACATTGATTAACGTCATTTCGTAACATGAACCAATATAAATAACATAACGTACAATATCCATAAAGTATTTCAATACTAGTAGACTAATATAGCAAAAAATATTTCTAAGGGAAATTTATATTTCATTGTCCTGATAAAATATAAATACCAGAAAAGTATAAGAATCATTATTATTTAGACTATGCATTTTTTCTCCAATTAGGTAAATTGTCGGGTTATTATAAATCAGGATCAGTTAATGCAGTAACTGTCAAGGAACTTTAAAACTCTATTTTCGATTTGAATGTAAGGTCTGTCCAAAACGGGTTTTTCACATTAAATTGTTAAAATAATAGAAGAAAACTTCATTTAAACAAGAATCGTTAGCAGAAACTCCGCCGAAAAAAAAGAGGAATGGGCTTGACGATCTAGAGGAGTAAATGATTCAACATTAAAGAATAAATGTTTTACTATAAGAAAAGCAACTTATAATTAACGTGAAGTAATATAATGACTTGCAAGAATTATAAGTGAAAAATATATAATTTTTGTGTGATTCTACATGTAATAAAATCTCCTTTTCATGTCACGATCATTTGACCGCAGTAAATTGCGATAAATTAATTATTTAATCTAAATATATTAAAGTCATCTATTAGTCATTATATAAAGTTTTTTTTTGTTTGTTTTTAGGATACTTATAGACCGACCGACCGGTTGACCGACCTTTTTAATTAACTGACTAAAAATCACAATAAATATATTTATTTTAAAATAAAATTGTCTTGCGACAATGCTGCGCCACTAAGGTAAATTTTTAATAAGCATATCAAAAGGTCATATATATATTGAAGATTTAAAAATGTTTGTAATATTAAAATATTTAATAAATAATAAGCTAGGAAATGATGCTATGATACTATTAAACGGTCTACGGTCAGTTAAAATCAGCAGGACTTGAACTGACCGACTGACCTTATGAAAAATTCGTAAATTATTGATTATTATGTAACAAATGGTATACTATAATAAAACTTTGAATATAAGGATGAAGTGACAATAGAAGTACATTTTAAAAGAGACTTTAACAAAATTTGTTAAATTTTGCTTTTAAACTACATTATGTATAAAGTTTTACCTTGACCAAAATTATTATGCCAATCATCGATTTCATACTAAACAATAAATAAATTAATAAATTGAGAAATTGTACTATTGAAAGAAAGTTTAAAATTAATATCGTGCGCACTATGAAAATTAATGTCTGAATTTGCCTTAAAGATTCAGACGGACAAAATTCCAGATTTTGATATATCAGGAATTTGTGCCGAATCATGAAAGACCGGAATTTGTCCAGAATTTGTGCTTAAAAGATCCACATAACAAAAAAAACCAAAAGTAATACTTAGCACACTTTTATGCAAGCTATGAAAATTATAACTGACATTGTTTTAACTTACTCTGCAGGTTTACTTTGAACGACAAAAAAGATAAATGTCAATTTTATGTTATTTTCGTTTTTTGTAATTAGTAGTACCAGCCGTTGTAGTCAGAGTCGACGACTGAGTCGACTCTGCAAAAATTATTTAGAGTCGACTTCGGAATTTTCAATGACTGAGCCATGACTGAGTCGCTGTCCCAAATTTGATATAAGGTCAGAATATTGTGAAATTTTTAATTAAATAAAACTTCAAATTTTTAGTCAAATGGGATTCTTGTCAACATTATTTATGATGAAACTTATAATTATCTATCTTTTTGCAACATTAATTAAATTTTAAAAATTTTTGAATATTAATAATACAATTATCGTCGCTAATTTCAAATGAGAGTTTCGACTCAGTCGACGGCTGAGTCGACTGAAAAGTCTCTAACGGCTGACTGAGTCGACTCCAGAATTTGTCACGACTGGTTCTACTATTTGTACTATTTGTAATGAATTAAATTAATTTATCTTTTTTAGAAAGATCCGGCATTTGTCTAGTTAATTTTGACCGGAATTTTTCATGTCCAGAATTTATCCGGTGTTAACCCTGAGATTGTACCGAAACCAAGGAAACGAATGATATATGCTATGTAATATGATTTTCTGGAGTCCCTTTTCTCCTGGAATATACCACTAATAACTTTATTTTACATTTAATTGTGTAGGCTGGTTATCACAAGCGGAGCCTATGTGAAGACAAGAGAAAGATTTGAAAGTGTAAAGAGATTTTATTATTTGAAAGTCCTTTAGTTTATCACCAAGACTTTACAACGATTGGAATATATCTTTTTTGTAATTAATTTTTCCAGCATATATATACTAAATTTAAACTACGCATTTTTATAATAATGAATAATACAAATAATATAAATGATAAATATAAAATAAACTAAATAAATAAAGAAATATAAGAAACGGTTTATATATAGGTAGGATTAACTAAAACTCCGAAATGTTATGCTATTCGTGCTACATTCGCCGCAGTACGCAGTCTTTGATCGTCAAACATTTTCAAGACTAACACCGGTCTGGAAATTAATATACTGTATGAGTTCCGGATTAAAAATTCCGGATATATATTTTTGTCCCAAAAAATGTATTTTCCGGACATTTTTGGAACGAATCCGGACATTCTCGGTGATATTTTCCGGACATTTATTTTTCATAGGAGCGATACAATTTTAATATTATAATAAGCCAACCATAAGTATATTATAATTATAATATTTTGATATTCGAAATTATGGTCATTCGGGATTATACCTCTAATCATCAGTAATATTATCTTCAAAACCTTTTACCTTTTTAAAAAAAAAAAAAATAATTGATCTTTGATATATTTTTTTTGTAAAAAAGTGAAATTAGTTTGAATTAGTAATCGACATTTTAGAATTTATCTTATTTAAAGACCTGCTTGTATAGTTCGTTCGAGGAATTTTTGTTATTGGTCCAATTTTATGGTTCAGCTCAGATTTATTCAATTCATCTTTGAGAATTGTAATTCGTATATGCCATAAATTAATTTTTAAACTCGGAAATTAAATTTATATACCATCGACCTTTTCCATATCGCCAAATTTATGTCTTTGAATATTTAATCATAAGTGCAGTTGCATTCAGTACATATGACGCGTAAATACTGGGTAATAAAAATATTTTTTTTTCGCAATTTTCCTCCCAGATAATCTTTAAGATTCTCATTTTGGATCTGCCAGTGCCAAGAACGAAATTTATCTAATAGATTAATACTTTAATTTCACCAGCCTATTGACTCACAACCTTTAAACACGAGTTGAATTGTTTGTTAATTTAAACACACTATACTTAAAAAGTCAATTTGTATATTTAATATATTTTTTTTGCTATTTTCCATCCTGTAAGATTTGCTTTAATTGATTAAGAAATCAATTAGCCCAAAATGTTCACCGGATCCACAAATCATTTTCGATTTACACAGCTGAAGTCGCGAAACCTTAATGTGTGTTAATTACCACAATAGAGAGAAACTTGAAAAACGTCGTCTTTAACCAATATAAACAATTCATATAAGTACACAAGAGAACTATGATATCAGAAGACAGCTTCCAAGAAAGACTACTAAAATGCTATCCGATATAAACTTATTTCCAACGAATAAACGAGTTGCAGCTCCATATATTTTAAGATAATATCAAATAATTAATTAATGTAACTCGGCAGGTTGGCACATTTTTATATGCAAGCTAATTTATTTGACAAAATATGAAAAATAATATTCAAACGAAATGTAATGATTTATTTATAAAAATGCAAAATAAAATTTATCAGTGTTGCATCATAATATTACTTATTTCTTTCTCTTATACATCTAACCGTGATTACTGCAGCAATAATAGTTGCAATACCTCCAATTGTTGATCCCACAATTATGCCTTTCATGTCACTATGGCCTTTATCATCATCAGGTTTATTAGGTGTATTAGTAGTTTCTATATATTGCAAAGGGTAAACTATGAATGATATACAGTATATAATATAAATAGCATTAAAACCATTCGATAATTACCCGCTTGGTATCGTGAGCTTTCTGGTGATTTACCGTTTGGTGTAGGATTACCCGCTGGTGATTTGCCGTTTGGTGGGGGACTCTCCACATTAAACTCTTCCGACCAATTATAAGCCAAACCATCAGTTATAAAAAATTTATACCTTCCTGCTGGCACAGTAACCACCCAATCTTCTTTTCCCAGTGAAAGAATTACGTTGTTGTCTATTATCAAAGGCCTCTGCATATTATTCATAATTCCTAAAGTAATTGGAACAGTTTGTACACCGTTAAGAGTCCAACTGATGGTTGTACTAGAGCCTGTATAAACTTTAACTTGAGGTGTGTGTATCGTCACATCTATTTTAAGTGAAAAATAAATATTTATTAAATGTTTTAACTCAAACATGACAAGCTTACGTACAAAATTGTGGTGCTGGCTGCGCCACGATCAAAGCTACATAATAGTATATGGTAAGAATAAATTTTAAAAGCTTGACCATGTTTAATAAATTTTTTTTAGTTAATATTATAGGAGAAAAAATTGTATATCGATGATTAATTTGTGAATGAACCTTCCAACTTATTTATATATAAATACTGTACATCTTTCGGAGTAGAGATCAAGTAAAATTCCATCTATTTTTTTTTTGAAGCCTGGTCCGGCCCGGACTTAAATTGTTTTTTTTATGCCAGCCAGGCCCACAGCCCGGTATTTAATTCACGGAAATGCCGATCATTTACAAATCGAAAAAAACACGGACTCGGTAATCTCATTATTTGCGATACGGATCAATTTTTTTTTTAACCTTGGATGGCTTTTTTTCGAATACTTTAAATGTTCTCGGATTGTCTTAATATGGGAGCTAAGCTATAAAATTAAGTTACTACTATTAAAAAGCCAATTATTGTAACAAAAAAAAATTAAAAGTTTGATTAATGTTACACAAATCTGCAGTGCTAAAAGCGCTTTGTTATCGTATGTAAATTTATTTTAAAAAAAGTATTGTCTTATAAAAAAAAAATTATAAAATGATGAACGATTAATAAATTGAGTAGTTCTCTATTGCAGAAGTATCCAATAATTAACATTAAACATAGTATCAGAAAATTAATTATTATACAATATTATTAACTCTTAATTAATAATTTAATATAAATAGCATAATATTATAATTGTTTTATTTATAATATTTTTTTCTTTATTTCTTTTTACTCACTTTTATTAGAATCGGAGAATTTATTGCAGTGGTCTTATACATCAACTATGATATATATTATTAAACATATTAGATAACTACATATGTAAATTAAAGAGATTTTATAAAATCAATTCTTACCTGCTAATTCTTAAAACATAATAATTCTTTATGACTTTATTGATTACATTATTAAGTTTACATTTCATTAGAATTAAATAGAAATATTGTTATTCGCAGTTCTTTATGTTTTTCGCGTTGTAACGTAGTCAAAGTTAATCAAAAGGTTTAATATTTTGGATCGAATTATTTATAATATAAAAAACGAATCTAATACAAATTAAATGATATTGTCTCGATCACATGCGTTATTAATTAACGTTTCAAATTCATTACAATAAATGCAAAGGAAATATAACTAAATGTTATTTTAATTATTTAGGGATATGAAACTTATATTTCATTCAAGCGAAATTCCACCATCTTTACACCCGAATATCAATCGTCCAGGAAGCATTTCGGCTTCAGAACATATTGTCCGATGACATATTTTCCACGAAACTGGTGAAAAAAGAAAAGGTTAAAAAATAGGTTAAAAAAAATATTACCGGAAAAATCACTTATTCGGCACTTCGATAGTTAGATCCGCAAAGGCTCAGAATCAACCAATCAAATTTGATTTATCTATTATAATAGTTATTCGGCATGGAGTGACGATAATATTTAATTATCACAGGTACAACGCCGCTGAACATATTATCATAAACTTTTTATTATAGATATCTTATGTCTTTATGTAGCACCTTGAAGGTATAATTACAAGAACCAAAACGACTCTTGAAATTAATGCTATTAATACTACGATAACTCAAATAGAAATTAACATAAAAACTGAAATTTTTAAATTTTAACAATGCCTGACAAGGATAAAGAATAAAAGCTTATCAAAGAAATATGTTTATAAAATGTCTTATATTTGCGATCTTCTATGCTATTACAAAGTGCCGGCTGAGGAAGTAATAGTTGGATACTTTGTATTTTATTAATATCACCTTTCTTTTCTATTATTCAGGATAATATCGTCATTTCTAAAGAATAAACCTTATTTAACTATTATCACTTCTACGAAATTATGAGATAACACTATCATAATTATTAATAATTTAATTGTTTATATATTTATTTATTTTTGATAAATATTTAGTAAATTTATATAAAAATGTTTATTGGCCCTGGATGGTTTCCAAATTACAAGAATTGATAATACTAACAAATTCTTTGACGAACTTAATAGATTTTATGTTTCTGAATTGTTAGGTAGCACTAAAAATTAATATTTGACCATATTTTTTTAAAGTTTCAAAAAATTGATTCTTTAAATAATGCTAACTTAGTTTAACATTAATTAAATCTTCAGTATATTTCCACAACTTATCGGCTTGCTCTTTATCTTGAGCTGCCGCAGATTTCTTACCTATTTTACCAAATGGTTCGAAATATTGATTGCGATAATTTTTTTCAACAATTTCGGGGCTTGTAGCAGCATATAATTGTGTTAAAGCTCCATCTTCAGGTGATAGAGCAAACAAATTAGCAACTTTGAATAGTATTTCCGCAATGAATCCATAATTACTAACTACTCCTCTTGATAATTCGGTATGAACAAACCCTAAAAGAAATTTTTTAAAATTGTCCTTTTGAAATTACTTTGATTAAATTTTTTTTCTGAAATATTATACCTGGATGAATCGAATTAACGTAAACCTCTTTGCCTTCTAGTCGTTTCGATAATGATTCTGTAAAAAGGATGTTGGCAAGTTTTGAAATACCATAATGTTCCCAAGATGATTGAGCACCTTCTTGATTAATCTTGTCGAATTCAATGCCTGCAGCCGGTGCATGATTATGAGCTAAGCTTTTATAAACAAATAGGTATAAATATATATTATTTATAATATGAAAGAATCAACTTGAAATCAGTCCTTAAACCATTGTTAGCTAACCTGCTGACGTTAACGATTCGAGAAGGCGCCGAAGCTTCAATTTTAGCGAGTAGTGTCATTGTGAATAGCTAAATAAAGAAAAAGATATATTAATCTCTTAATAAATTTAAAGTAAAATAAAAATAAAAATAAAACTTACGAAATGCCCAACGTGATTTACTCCAAATTGATCCTGGATCCCATCTTCAGTTAATGTCCAAGGGCTAAATTGAATTGAAGATTTATTAGAATAAAAAAACTTGATATATAATCGAATGTTGCAAATCACATAAATAATTGAATCAAACTCACGTCGCCATAATTCCAGCGTTATTGATACTAAAAAGGAATTTAAATGATAAAAATCATTTAAACTTTTAGTCAAAAAAAATTATTTTACAACTAAGAAAGTTTATTAACTTACAGAATATGTAAAGGCAAATCTTTTGAAAGGAAACTTTCGGCAGATTTCTTTACATTTTTAAGGTTATTTAAATCTAAATATAAATATTCTACTTGATTATTTCCAGTTTCTTTTTTAATTTTTTCTACGGCACCTTCGCCACGTTCTTTATTACGACTTGCAATGAATACGTGTGCATTTTTACGAGATAATTCTCTTGCTGTGATGTATCCGATTCCAGTGTTGCCTCCTGTGACAATGGCAACTTTTCCGGTCAAATCAGGAATATTTTCAATAATAAAATGTTTTTTATTAAACATGATTGAGATGATTTATTTCTAAAAAATTTTATTTTTTTAATTTTAAAAAAAAAAATTAATTTAAGCTTTTTATAAGGTTTGAATAATTAATCCTACTTATCTAAATTAGGTAAAAAATACCGAATTTTTCCATTTCCGATTTATTTGCCGACGAGGTATATTATATTGAATATCTTTACTAAATTTGGATATCTAACCGATATTTGTGGCATTTCTTTTATTCAAATTCTGCTTTCGGTAAAATAAAAATTTATACTAATGGTTTAGTTACACTATATTATGTACCAATAGATTACATTTTAAATTACCTTTTATATTGAAAAACGTAACGTTGTCTTTCATTCCGGTAATTCAATATCCGAATATCCGAATGTCCGGAAAAATTATGGCACGACATACGTAATTTTGATAAATTTTTGCAGATGACATCAGCGGCGGTGCTTGATCCGGATGATCTGATCCTTCAATATCTGGGATACAATGCTATAAAATGTATTCTTAGTTTACCACGGATGATCTTTTCGAATGATTAAGTCATTATTCAAGTATATATATAACATGCACTACTGCACCACTAGAATGCGATCGAAAAATTTTTTAAGAAAAATTTGTTTTTTAAAAATAATAAAATATATAACAAATAACTAAGTTATACCCAGGAGCGTGTGATTTGTGATAATTATTACCATTGTTATTATCACGTGTTCAATCATTATTTATACTTTTGATCACATGAATAATAATTATTTCTTTCTTTTCTTTTCGTCAAAAAATTATTTTCTTCATTTTTTTTTACTTACATTTTAAACAAATATCTGAAGCTTTATAAGATAAAGATAATATTATTTTTGCATTTTTTTTTAAAAACTATAAATAAAAAAATAAAATAATTAATAGCTTTATTAATATTTTCAAGGAAACATTATTAACTAAAAAGAACCAATTATCAACAACACATGAACGATTTGTTATTTCTACTGATAAAGATTTACAAAATATTCAAGCTTACTCTCACATTACTAATACAGATGATAGTACAAAAACTTGGATGAATCTTTTTAATGCTTATAGTAATGCAGCCAATTTGACTAATCTCTTGAATTATTAGATGATACTGCATTGCAAAAACAGCTTTGTCAATTCTTTTATGGTGTTAGAAAATCTGGAAAAAAAGAATATGCACTTTCTTCATTGCATGTAGACTTTGCTGCAATTGCTAGAGGGTTATCTGATATTTTTTATCAAATTAGACTTATTAATATTCATGATAAGCATAAATGGAAACGGCTTCATGAAATTTTTGATGGTCGAATTAAACAAATTCAAAATAATTAAGATACGTCTCGTAAGAAAACTGATGCACTTGAAATGTGGGAAATTGAAACTATTCTTAATTCACCAAATATGCAAACTGATGCACCAAACGTCTTATATATCATGTTTGGTTTTGACTAACACTTCTTTGTAATCTGCATGGTGATGATCCAAAAAGATTAAAAAATTCCTGGATCATTATTAATGAAGATCGCAGTATTGAAGTAAATATATCTTGTGAAAAAAATAATGCAGAAGGTGTCAAAATTCATACAATACTGGTAGACATAATTATATTTCCACAGATTAACCAAATAATTATTCTCCAATAGCAGATATTTTATAATATCAATCTAAAAGACCAAAAGATTGAAAACAACTGATTTTTGTTAAGGATTAACACTTTATGAAAAATATATCATGGTAATTAATTCTGTGATTCTACACTTAGAAAACATTTTCAGGATAATATGCTTAAAAATATAATTGCTGTAAAATTGATGCAAAGAGATGAAATCTTGTTAATCATTCAATGTGTTTAACTGGAATATCTTTATGGATGTTACTTGGTATATCTCATGCAGAACAGATAGATATTACAGGACACAGAATACTTGCTAGCATTTTTTATATTCAACTTCAACTGTTTAACAAAGTAAAAATAATGTTTTATTTCTTGGTTCACGAAAAAGAAATATCGATAGTTCTATCAAAATTTCTTCTAATAATTTTCCTACAAAAAAATGAAATACATTAATAGAAATTACATCTGAAAATCAAGGTATCATAATATAGCTGTACTTATTTTTTTTTACTTTTAATCTAAAAAATTACATATTTTAGGTTTTATTATTGCTTCTCAATTATTTCAATAACAACAGCATTGATTTGAAATAAAAGAAGATTTAACAAAATGTTTTGTCAAAAATTCCACAAGTTAATATTGAAAATATTAATATTAAAAATTGCAATAATGTTAAAGTAAAGAGTATTTTTATAGCACTAGAATAAATAAAACAGATAATATCAGCAATAATGTAAATTTATATAACTATAATAAACAAAATAATTTAAAGTTTATAAAAAGTTTATATCTGTGAAAAAATAGTCTAAAAATATCCCAGAGAAAAACATTTATTTTTATTATTAGGAAAATTACAATATTCTATATCATAAATCATACTTAGTAACGAGGTATAATATAATATATTTAAATTACCAAATAACAGAAACAATTATCAAATAATTTTTTTATTTATTATTATAACTCATGATAGAGAAAATATGACCTTCGTGAAATTTAAGGAATTAATCATCAACCTTTACCAATTAATCTATTAAACAGGATAAAGTATGTCTACGAATAATTTCAAATAAACTTTTACAATATGAATAACAATGAGTTTCACTAATTAAAATTAGAAATAATATTAGCAATTTATTAATATTACAAATTTTTTTTTAAAAAAAATAAAGATAAGTCTTGTCTTTTCTTATTTCTTCATTTTTTAGGTACTATCACTTTTAGATGTTCTTTTATATGAGATGAAGAAGTTTCTTCTTTTGGGAATAAATAATCATTTATATTCTCTTTAATACTATAAAATTCTATAAATAAATAAATAAAATTAATATTAATTACTAAATTTTTATATTTATATGCTATTCTTTTTTTATTTCCTTTAATATTATCTAATTTTTCAGTTTAATTTACAATAATAGTTGATTAATTATCTTTTCCATTTTTTTTTTGCATTTGAAAATTTGTGATCTTCAATAACTCTTATATTGATCTTTGATTATCAAATCTGAAGAAGTTATTAATATTTGATCTTGTAATATTAGCTAATAATAAGCATGGTAAATGATCTAATATTTGATCATCAAACCTAAATGAATTAGTATTTGAATTTGAATTTTCATCAATTGTAACTTAAGATCTGATATTATAGTTTGATAATTATTATATGGGAGCTTTGCTATTAAAAATGGATTCCGGGGACTTTTAACAAAAAATGAGATTTTTGATTCATATTATA